ACGTGGTGGCCATCCCGTCCTCATCCGTGAACGTCGTCTCGAGAACCCATTTCGGGATCGCGCGCGACTGCAGATGCAGCGTGTACGCCATCGCGTCTTCGCAGTACCCGTGGTCTCGGACGCCCGTGTTGAGGTAAATGTCGACGGCAGGGCACTTGCGCAATTCGGCCAGAATCGCTGCGTGCGGACTGTCGCGGTGCAGCATGTCGCTCGAGTTGCGGGCGGTCCATGGGATGAGCACGTTGTCTTCCTTGCGGCAAAAGACGTTCAAGGCGATCAAGTGCAAGAGCTCGGCGTCGTGCGCCGCGTGGAGCGCGTCGATGGCTGCGACGTCAACCCAATTGGGCTCGTAGTGGGCTTGTACCGGTACGCGCACACTGGGTGAGGAGGGCCTGCCAAAGCTGCCCGCCACCAGCGCGAGGTGTACGAGCGTGAAGACAGCGAGCGCCACGAAGGCGGCCTTGACCCATGCGTCGCTCGATGGCATTGCGATCTTTTTTCGAGCTACGGTTGACAGAGGTGCGCGATCCAAACCAGATGGTGCCATCTCATCTGCGTGCACGGCCATGTCGTTCCTTTCGCCACCATGGCAACCTACTGTACTCGAGCTGGAGGTGGGAGAGAAGACGACTCTGTCGTGCACCATGTTTAAACCATGCGAGGTGACGACAAGGCGTACAGCGAAGGCGCGCACCCCGCGAGGGTGGCTTGTTTGAAAAGTCGGACAGAAATCTTTCGAACGTTCCATCGACAGCCGTCGGCCATGTTTCGAAAAGAAAACCAGGCGCCAGACAAGATCGTGTTGGGCGCTGGGCCCAATACGACATGCAATCTCGGTTGAATTCCTAAATGCAATACGAGCTCGTTGTTGTTGTTGTTCAACTGAGTTCGAATTATAAAGATATGGTGGACTTCCTACTGCGCTCGTGAGGCGTCGCCGGTGCGTCAGCGAGGAGCGTTAGTGGTCGTGATTCGAGATTGTGCGAGGGACCAGGTAGCGTGCACACCAAGGGTCTTCGCGTAGAGCGACCAGCGACGCGGCAAGAGATGGTACCACAGCGCGACGAGCCAAGTGCCAGACATGCAGTATTGCGACAGTATGTAGCTGCCTTGACCGCGAGCGTGGCAGCGGGAAGTTGCGTCAGCGTTGATTCACGAGCTATTATAGTTAAGGCATCGAACGACGACGAACCACGTTAACGGGTCATTTGTCGCTAGTATGGAGTGTCCTAGTATCATCGATGGATATATCGTTTGGACGACCAATGCGGGTGCCGCATACAAAATTCACAGCCAATCGGCATGCCCGTACGGACGACTTTTGACCAATGCATGGGCTAGATTTTGAACGTCACCCGGCGAATCTTTGACGTGTCCCACTCTGCTCTTGGCATCACCAGCTTCAAGCACTGCGGTGACGATCGTCTCCTTCCATCAGCCAAGCATCCAGCGTCTTGGCGCCCAAAACAGCGAAGAAAACAGAGAAAACTTTCTAAAAACAGGTCGTTGCGACCTGGGAAAGTTGTGGAAGACACCGCCATAGCTAGCGCTGGTCCATCGCCGTCACGGCGCGCCGACATATACAGTGGCACCCTGTTTCTCCGGCACCACATCTTGTCCCGACCTGTCCAATCATACCCGGTCGAATCGAAGGGTTCGAGACACGGCGCGGAATCAATGCGGCCGAGTTCAGGCGCGGCACTCCCCTAGACCGTGCTCTATCGACAGCAACCCAGAAGGTCGCGTCAACCTCCACTTTCAACACTGACGTTGCGTGCTGGCTGGGTCGAGGAAGAGGCTCCAGAGCAGACTTGCAATGGACAATAGTATCTTCATATTTATAGTCGAAGCGGCATGTCGCAGGGTTTTTAACCAATCAAACGTGCCCATGGACCATCGACCAGACGATTGAAAAAGTGCATTCTCCCAACGGGCAGCAACATGCCACCGAGCGGCGCGTGGACCAAGGCCGCCTTCGTGGCGCTCGCCGTCTTCATGCTCGTACACCTCGCGCTGGAGACGCGAGAGATGGCCTCGCCTAGCGTGCTCCAGCGATACGCCGTTGAGCCAGCGTCGACGAGTAGCATTGACGCGCTCCACGCGGCGCACGACGACGAGCTCTTGCACTTGATCGCCTTGAACGTCTTTTGCCGCAAGGAAGACAACGTGCTCATCCCATGGACCGCCCGCAACTCGAGCGACATGCTGCACCGCGACAGTCCGCACGCAGCGATTCTGGCCGAATTGCGCAAGTGCCCTGCCGTCGACATTTACCTCAACACGGGCGTCCGAGACCACGGGTACTGCGAAGACGCGATGGCGTACACGCTGCATCTGCAGTCGCGCGCGATCCCGAAATGGGTTCTCGAGACGACGTTCACGGATGAGGACGGGATGGCCACCACGTACTTTGAGCTGTGTCCGCGCTCGGCCATCCTCTTTATGAACCACTACTGGGAAGAGGTCCATGAAATGCCACGCTTTCCGTCCACGAAAAAGATCGTGCTCATGCCCAACGTCGAGATGGGCGAGCTAAAACCATCGCATTACCACCGCGTGGACATTGTCTTGGCCAAGTCGCGCGATGCGTACAACCGCATCTGGGCCTGGTCCGTTGCTGTGATGCATCCAGAAAGAGTTCTCTCATCTAATGGGCTGTAGGTACAACCAAGACTTCAACAACCCACGCAGTGCCAAGGTGCTCTACACGCAGCATACGACAAGCGACGCCACCGTCTTGGTGCGCAATGCGAGCCACCACGGCCAGCTCAATGACACCCTCGCACCCAAAAACTTTAGTCGGCTCAGCGTCGTGCACGCCAACGGCAAGAGTCCGTTCAAGAACGCGGGGCGAATGCTCCAGTGCTGGAAAGACCACCCCGAGTTTCCGATCTTGCACCAGTACTCGAGCGACGACTGGTCCAACGGCACGTACAACGAGCTCTGGCGTGGCCATCCGCCGGCCAACGTCGACTTTCACTTTGGCAAGTACGTCTCGTCCTTGGGCTTTGCCAAGATCTTGAACGACGCGACGGTGATCGTGTGTCCAAGTGCCATGGAAGGGTATTACCCTCGACTCGAATGAATGCATCGAGTCCATTAACGAACGCATCGAGTAGGTTTGGCCACTACATCAACCAAGCGCGCGCGGCGGGAGCCCTCGTCGTGACGACGGACGCGCCCCCCATGGACGAGTTTGTCGACGACGACTCGGGGGTGCTCATCCACGGCATCACGCCGTGGGCCGACAAGGCCACGATGGGCCAGAACTTTATGTTTGAAGTGCCGACGCGGGCCATTTGCGAGTCGATTCAAGACATCCTGGCCATGGACCCGCAAGAGCGTGCGCGGCGCGCGGCCAACGGCGTGCGGCGATACTTCAAGCAACTACAGTATTTCAAGCAGAGTATGCAGACGCTGCAAGCGATGGTGTATCAACGTTTATAGACAATTATGGTTGCTTCTTTTCATTTCTATCTCTCGGCGAGTGGAATCCACCACAGGATGGATCTCTCCGTGGGCAGCTCACTCCCAACGACCAAGTGCTGGTGCCAACTCCCACGCAATCAGGCGTCGCACTACGTATGCGAAGTCTCTGAGTTAGTTTTTGCTCATTTAATTTCAACGCGAACCCGTTTGATTGATTGATTGATTGATTGATTGATTGATTGATTTCTTCCCTTTACTCTACAAAACGACATGTGCAGCTCGGTTTCCATCAAATTGAGAGAGGCGACATCACGACCTTGTTCGCGTAGGTTGACCCGAATCGCACAATGCCATTCTATTCCTCCTTGTCGAGTTGGATCGACGTGTGAGGCTGAGGGCAGCCACGCACGCTGTGGAGGACCACGCAGTATTCTTGAAGGCGGTTTTGAGACAACTCCCAGCTAGGCGACCCCAATTCTAGCCGTCGGTCACCAGCACAGGCAGCGTAGTGACGATCTCGAGCTCGGTTGTGCTCGTCACGTCTCGCAGGATGATAAAAATTAGTACAACAACTGTCTTTCCCATCGCATGGGTCTATTCAAGGTCGGGCTTTTGTCGACGCTACGGTGCTACGGTGCGGTGAGATCCACGGTCCACAATTGGCCGTCGTCCGTGGCATTGAGGGAGCTACTATAGACAAAGTGACCATCAAGGGGCTTCAAGTACTCGCGCCGCGTCATGTACTCGCCCTTGAAGTCTTTGAGCCGAATGTGCGTCTCACTCACGTCTTCGCACGTCCAGTGGGTCGAATCCGAGGCTTGCCACTTGGTATAGCGCTGCACGACCTGGTTGGCGGCGTTGCCACAGTTTTCGCAGCGGCTGTAGAAGCGGCCGGTGTCCATCTGGAGCCCGAGCGAGCCGCCCGGGATCGTTGCGATCGTGATCGAATGCCACCACTTGTTGACGCGGGCTGGCAGCTTGTAGCTGTACGCGTCGAGTGTGCAGCCAACGCAGTACCCGAGGTAGTGTTTGGTGCTCCCGACCATCTGCGCGAGGTAGATCTTCTTGCCATCCACCAAGGTCCGGCAAATGGAGAACGGCGCTGCCGTCGTTGGTGCCGGCGTCGTCGGCTCCGGGGTCGTCGGAGTGCACGCGTCATGGGCGACGGCGCGGGCCAACGCCACAAACCCAAGAAGGGACGCGAGTTGCATTGTGCGCGGCGCAATCGAAAATGCAAAGTGACAAGGTGGCGCTGTCGCTACTGACGACTATGCACTGGTCAGCAACCTGTAAGTATAGAAGGACCTAGAGAGAGGTCCGATCTGGTGCTGCCAGCATCCTACCATCATGTTTGTAACGTGTCGCGCCAAGGTACCCTTCTGCCAACACCTGGCCACACATCGTGCATTTCAGCTTGCGAGCCACTCGAGCCCCAACCCCCGAATACAAGGTCCGACAGCTCTTCCAGACGTACGTAGATGACCTAAACATCGTCCATACTACCGCTGCAATTTAAGCAGATCATCATTGCATCTGTCATGTGGACACAATGGGGCACAGGATCGCTACAGCATTTTGTGTGCAGGTTTGGAACTGTTGGGGATGATGACGTAAGAAGCGATCGAGCAAGGAGGGGACGTAGGTCCAGAATGGAGCTTGCTCTAGTTGTCTGGACACTTGTGCAGCGTGCCGCTCCGAAATTATGGAGTACGCTTCGTTTGTGGACGACGAGACTCGAAAAACAGGGTGTTTACGCGGTTCAATTCCGTCAAGTACGTGAACGACACGACAACCGACTGGTCCCTAGAGTTGACGGTGCAGCGAGCCTTTTTAAACCGAGACGTCGGTGGTTGGACTGGCGGCCGCTTCGTCGAGCTCCTTCTGAATCGCATCGGCTTCCGAGCCCGAGGTTGGCTGGTACTGGGGCTTCTTGGCCTTTCGGGGCCGGCGGCGCTTGGCGAGCACTACAGCAAGCGCGACGACAACGACGAGCGAGATAAGGCCGATGGCCGCGACCACCGATGGTGTCAGCGCGGCCGTGGTCAGTCCCTCTACAACGGCCCATGAGTCTTGACATTTCAACGGTCCGACTACCTCGCGCGACCACCGAAGTGGCTTGGTCCTCCGTCACACGCACCGCCTTGGTCTACATCGCCTCGTGAGTCATTGTCGCAACGCTTGCATCAAGTTGTACGGTCGAGTAAAAGTAGGTGTGGCCTCGAATGCGGTATCCATTCGATGTCGCTTCGTACCTAGCCATGATCGTTACTCGATGCTGCCACGATGCAGGAGCGCGCACGAGGGGTCGGTGCGTGCATTCACCAGATGGCTCTGCGGGCGCACATGTGGCGACGGATGGGCCTGTGTCGCCCAACCCTAATATCGTAGTGAATCATCCTTCGATACACCTCTCTTTCTTGGTATCTACAATGGACAAACCTGGTCCACCATGGCGGCAACGCGAACGTACAAGGCGCCGGTCGCCGTGGCGTTTATAGGCAGCGAAATGTAATCCATAAAGAACGGCCCATTCGACGCGTTCTGGCTCGCGGACGGCGGCGTCTCAGCGTGGACATAGAAGCCTCGCCTACGGTACCGAGACACCCTTTTGTTTTGGCTCGAGGCGAGATGTCGATAATACCGGGTCCGGCCTTGGTGCGAAGGATAGGTTTGTGTCTCTACATAGAGAGATGAAAGGCTTTTACGCAAATAGGTAGTAGCGTGTCTGTACTCGACGCCGGAAATTCCGGGTCACTGGACACTTGGACGAAAGTTGCATCCACTTGAAAGCTACCGAGGACCTCCCACCCCACGCGGAGATGGGTCGTCGCCGCGGAGACGAGGCAGTCGTCGCCACCGAGGCAGTCGACGGCTACGTCGCCTAAGCCTGCGGGTGGTGCCGCCACTCTGTTCCACTATACAAAAAAGGCTCGTTCGCCGACCTATATATCCGTGCACGAGGTCCTACCTCGGACGTGGTTGCTAGCCAGCGAACGTACGGCTGCACCATATCAATGAGAAGCAGCCCGAGGCGGATGTTTTGAGGCACATGGCCTTCCGGTGCGATCGCGAGGTCCTAGCCAGTGCGCGTCGCCATCCTGACTGCGAGAGAGACGGTATACTTGAAGATCCGCGCCGTAGATCGCACGTTTGGCGCCAAGACTCGACGCCGACGGCTGCTTGGCATTGGAGGTTTCGACGAGAATGTTGAACGCGCGATGAGTGGCGTTGTTGTAGACGGTCTTCTCGGCTGGGTACCCGCCGTACTGCGACGGCGTGCACGGCGTAAAGACGGGCTCTGCCGCCAACGCATTCTCCCACGACGCCGCATATCTAGGACATAAAGTTGCGTGTTTCTCGACACACGAACGTTCGTCGTACGCCCAGTCTTCCATGCCGCCGTAGACACCATAGACCACGTCGTTCATCGTGCCCGTCGGGTAGTACGTGCCGTCGGGAAATGGCCCGGCAAAGCGAGCGAGCGCATCGCCGAGCTGCACCTGGCTCGTGTCGTCCGGCGACCGCTCACTTCGGCCGCCTGCAGTGTCGTGCCATGAGCCATCATCGACGTCGAAGATCGATGGCTCGTACTGGTCATGTGGTTGGGCGAGCCCCACTCGTAGGTGACGCAGCGCATGCCACCGTGAAAGGTCATGGCCAGCTGGAACAAGTGATCGCGCCAGACCTCGTTCACCGCGCGACTGCATTTTGGTCAAGACCATAGACGGACATGGGCGAGTTTAGAGTACCTTGTCATGGCCTCCATGCAGTGGCCGTTGACCTTGTAGTTGTAGTCGCGGTTCGGGTCGATGCCATTCTCTTCGCGCGTGTGCTGAAAGTACCCAAACGCGTTGGTCATGGGCATGAGGTAGATCGCGCGCGTGTTGACGAGGCTACGCGCGCAGTGAATGCGTGCAGTGGTGGCGCAGATGAGGACGTACCGCCAGATCCACTCTTGCGTCGAAAGCACGTTGGCGTCGTCAGATGGCTCGGCGACGTACGCGTGGGCGTACGACGCCAGAAGCAGCGCGAGCTCGATCGTTGCCTGTGGCCCGACGCGCTCGTCGCCGTGCAGCGCGCCGCTAAAGAAGACCTGCGGTCGGTCCTTCTGCAGCGTCGACTCGTTCGTAATGCGCAGCACGTATTGCTTGCACGGCGCCGGCGCGTTCTCTTCCTCGCATTGCAGCTCGGGCGGGTACGGCAGGCCATACCGGTCCTGCGCCACAAAGAGGTCCACGAGGCCCGGCGACGTCTCATTGAGCGTCTTCATCGTTGCGACCATCTCGGCGTACGTGCGATACGCAAAGACGTCGGCAGCGATGGCGGCGCCAGCGAGCGCCAGCAGCCGCAAGACCACGCGCAGCGGCATCTCCTGCAAGTGCAAACTGGCGACCTGTTGCGGTATCCGGATATTCACACACGTGGGAAACGCGATGTGTTTTCCACGTGAAAAAGGCCGCGTGGAATATGACGTGGCACATCACTGAGCACAGCGAGCGCTTGATGCACCACACATTAAGAAGTCCTCGAGAAAGACGAACTTGGCAATGCATTTCACCTGCTGCATGTGTGGGCCGTCACAGCACCGATGCGAATGACAGAAGAGGGGTCCGTAGTACGCAGTCCCAAGTAGCCACGTGGCGGCGAAGGACCATGTATCGGACATAACTATGCTCGGTACTTTGGTGCGACGACAACCTCGAATGCGCTGTTCATCGAGGCTCCACGCTTGCACGCGTCGCATGGAGCAGTCTCGTCCATGGTCCAGTAACCAGCGTCGAAAAAGGTTGTGGGAAAGCCCAACAGCTACTACCACTCAATGCGGCGGGCACGGCGCAATCCGAAGTGTTCCAAGCCTGTTCGTTCCCAACTCGACTGCGTCGCCGTCAAGTGACCGAATGCGATCCTTGATAAACACTATAAGCTTCCTACCCGCCAAGCCTTCGCCCTTGCCCCCACCAACGATGCGGCCTCGGTACCCTTACACCCTTACACCCTTACACCCTTACACCCTGCTCGGTCCCGCTCGCTCGTCGTTTCGAGTCGTGTCATGAACGTTGGTCGGTACATGCTGCATTCTCATTGGTTGCTTCGATTTTTTGGCGGATCGCTGATTGGCTCATTTGAGAAAGTCCGTTCTCGTCGCCCACAGTCCATGAGTGCAAGCGTGGGGCTCGTCCTCGGCGGCGGCGTCTCGGTCCTCTTTGGCCGCGTCTTCTATGCGCTCCGCGACGACGCCCTCAGTGGCGTCGATGTCGTGCGTGCGAGCCTTCCGTTTGACTCGCTGCCGCCTGTGCCAGCAACGCCAGGTACGACGGCGTACGTGCAGTTCACGGGCCGCCTCGCCCGCGTCAACCAGCCGCTCTACAAGAGCGCCCTCGCCCGGCGTGTCGAAGCTAGTGCTGCCGACGCCATCCGCATTCGGTCGGTGACGTACCAAGTGACCGAAGAGGTCGGCCGCGACGGCCTCGTCTTGCAGACCGAGCACCAAGTCGCATCGTCCGAGGTCGGCGGCAACGTGGCTGTCGACGCG